AGAACAGCACTAAAAACCAAGATGTGGACACTACATGGGCTGGCAGCTATTGAGATGTCACTTCTAGGGCCTCTCAACACAGGGCAAGTGAATGCTCCTGTACACGGACCCTAGCAGAGACACCCATCTGTGCCCATTTCTCTATGGACCTCTATCTCTACTGAGCTAAATGTGACTTCACACTCGAGTCTCCAACTCTGAGGCATAACCATAGCCTCCTTCCTCTCTGTCATGTGGAACCTTCCACGCCAACAGTGAGAAGCCTGGCTCCTGCCATTCGCTATTGCTATCCACGTACTTAACTGCTCAGCCCCAGAAAATAAATCTAATGGCTCCAGAATTGTCCACCATGCCCACTAGAAAGACATCGAAAAAGTCCCAGTCAAGGGGGATCCTAAAAAACATTTGACCAGTACCCCAAAACTGTCAAAGTCATCAAAAACAAAGAGAGTTTGAGAAAGTGTCACAGCTAAGAGGAGCCTAAGGAGACATGAGGACTAAATGTCACATGGGATCCTGGGACAGAAACAGGACACTGAGGAAAATGGAGGTTGCCTGAGTAGTGTGGACTGTATTAATGGGGGTGGCTGACCAGCAGGATGGGCTTCCTTCTGATCCTGCAGGAAGGGGTGCAGAGATGTGGGATGAGCAGGGACTAAAGGAGCTCACTCAGTGAGAGGGGGAGGCGGGCACAGATAGTGCGAAAAACCTGAAGAGCCCATAAAGTGACAGGAAGGGCTGGTCTCTTTCTCCAAGGCCCTGCCCTGACACCCAAAGGCTTCACACGGTTGCAGACTGGCAAAGATGAATGGAATAATGGGAAAGCAGTGTCAAAGGGGAAACATGAACTTGAACCCTGAACCATGGAGTTTTCGATGAAGAAATAGATGCTTGATAACCAGGTGAGAGAAAACTTCAAGGTAGCTGAGGTCCTAAGGAGACGGAGACCAACTCAGCAAGTGAAAAGGCAGGACTATAGAGGTTGGACTATAGCAGGATAAGAAGGATTGAGAGCAGGTACTCATCAGGGTAACAGTAAAACCTTGCAGTGGCCAAGCAAAGGGGCTGCTACTCAGAAGCAAGCAGAGGTGAAGGGAGGTGGTCGGGCACCCACGCCAGGACAGGACACCGTGTGGACAATAAAGTGCACCTGAGTTAAGCAGGAACAACTACAGAGACAGCCACCATCCTCACTCAACTTGGGAAATGAACACAGCACTCAGATGATCTACCACAGTGCGCATACTCTAATTGTGTTCTTGAATGTTCTTTCCATAAACTTGCACTCATGAAATATTTACCTTGCCCTTCCAAACCCTGACAATAATGTGCACCGCATGAAACCACAATTTCCTCGTCAAATTACTGAATCCAAAAACAGACTATTAACTTTTAAGGCACACAAACACACACGAATAGTAACCCATCAAAAGCCACTGCCAACAATATCCTGATCCCTCAGTGAACAGTAACCTATGTACCTTCCTGAGAAAGGTCTTCCACATTAAAATACTCAGTCACTGTAAAACAGTGCTTAGACACTGCAGATCACAGCAAATGGGGAGGGCAAACCGGAAGCAGGGAGCACAGGGGAAGCCAGCCAGTGGCTGGGAGTTGCCACTGGGTTTTTCCCTCTCAGCAGCCACTCCTCTGCCTCTTCCTCTGCACTTCTCCAGAGATCTCTAACTGGGGACACCAGGCTGGGTCCTGCTTTCCCCTTTCTCTCAATGCTCTCTGGAAATGCCCTCGTAGGGACATCAGTTCCATACAGTTATGGAAAGAGAACTCTATCCAGAAAATTCCCAACCTGATAATGCATCATGGAGTCAAGTCAAGTGGTAACTCAGCAACTCCACCATAAGAGGGTCAAAGCAAAACTCCCCAAATCGTTATGACCCCACTTCCATCTCAATAAACACCGTGCCATCTAGCTACTGAGGTAAAAACCAAGGACTCACCTTCTCTGACCTGTTCCTCCACTTCCCCACATCACTCCATCAGCAAGTGCAGTGGGATCCACCTCCAAACCCATCACAAATCTAACCACTCTTGTACCTCCCTTCCCTGCCCAGATCCAGGTACTGCGAGCGCGCACCTGGGCACCCCATCACCTCCCAGCCGTCTTCTTCCTACACGCAAGGCTTCCACTCACCCAACACCTGGGTCACCACTTGGCATCCAGCAGGACCCTTCACAGACAGATGCAATCCTGTCACCCCCACACCTGATGCTGCACCATAACTGCCTTACCAAAGGCCTCCCACAAACTGTGTATCCAGAGCCTGCAGGCCTTACTTCCCACCATTCTCCCTGCCAGGTTGGCTTGATCTTTTGTCACCTCAATGGGACGTTCTTCAGCATATTCCCCAGCACTTCAAAACAGGTGCTGAGGGAATGAGTGAGAAGAGCAGGGAGGGTGCCAGGAAGACAAGAGAAAGTGGAAATGGTGCACGCAGGCACAGGAAGAGAGGGGTGAAGAGGGTCTGGTGTGGAGTTTGCCTGGGGAGTCTGGGAGAAGTGGCGTCAAGGAGACACATAAAAGCCAGGAACCGGTGGCTCACACCTAGAATCCTAGCTACTCAGGAGACACAGATCAGGAGGATCGTGGTTCAAAGCCAGCCCAGACAAATATATCATAAGACCCTATCTTGAAAAAAAAAAAACCTATCACAAAAAAGGGCTGGTGAAGTGGCTCAAGGTGTAGGTCCTGAGTTCAAACTTCAGTACTGCAAAAAAAAAAAAAAAAAAGAGAGAGAGAGATATGTAAGGGGTTCAGAGGCAAGAAACCTACACCAGTGCTGGCATCCCCCCTGAGTATATAGGCTGGATGAGTCTGTCACCAAGAAGCATGTAGAGGTCAATGCATCTCTTTCATTCTTGTTCTACCCACAACCCAACATGGAGAGTCAAAAGGAGCAGCTTTTTTTTTTTTTTTTTTTTCATTTTAAAGAAGAACAACACAGGCTGGTGGAGTGGCTCAAGTGGTAAAGAGCCTGCTAGCAAGCATGAGGCCCTGAGTTCAACCCCCAGCACTGCTATATAAAGTAAATAAATAAATAAAAAGAAAACCACAGCAAATAAACCCTCAAGAATTGTAAATCTAGAAATAAGAAGAATACTACATGTCTGCCTCTCTGTGTCCTGTCCCAGGGAAGAGCTGAGCCTAAGTCAAACTGGTGCCCCCTGCCTCTTTCCACATCTTCTGAAATGAGGGTGCCTTATGTGGATGACATGCTTATAGCATCGGATTCACCAAAATACTATGAAAACTTGACATGTGATGACACATTAAGCCCTTGGTGTAAGGCTCAGCAGTAATGGGAAAGGCTACTTATTAGACACCTACTATGTGTTGGAGCTGAGTGTACAGGACTCCATTTAATCCCACCCCCCCAAAAAAAAGCAGCACCAGCTCACCAGGCACTGTCAGTGCACTTTCAGGACAAGGACACCAAGTCTTAAAGATGGCTCAGTAGTTGCTCAAATCAGTGGCAGCAAAGATGGAGTCAGGGCTGCTCTGCCTCCCAGAGCCCAGGCCTAAGGAAGAGAACTGTGCTGAAGAAAAGGAACATGGCACCTAGGGAACTCTTAAGAATTCAAAACATCTCGGTAACACTGCAAAAGTTTGTCTCCAGAAACTGCACTTCTCTGGCTGATGACCCCTTGTGCTGCTCTGGGTGCGCCAAGTCACCAGCATGGTATACTGCTGGCACAGAGCGCGCTGTAACATTCCCTCGGCCCCCCCAACAGCACCTTTACCCTGCACAAACTCCTCTCCCTGTATTCCATGTGCTCAGCACACTTCCTGCTCCTGGCTCTGTCCTTCCCTCATCACCTCTCCACAACTCACGTTTAGGTAGTCCTCATCTCTGGTCTGAACCCTGCAGAACTCTAACCTTAGGTCACTAGGTTCCAGAGACCTTCTACATGGCTGCAGAAGTTACCATTCAAAATCATAGTGCAGGTCCCCAAATCAACCTTGTTAAAACCTTCTAGCACTGTTCTATGGGATGTGGATTTGCAGACCCCTCTCCTCAATGCAGTGTTCCTTTTGCTTTCTTTTACCAAAATGTCACACTTCTGTGCTATGTTCTTATGCTTTCTTCTACTTAGAAATTCATATGCATTTTCTCTCTGACTAGACAAATTATTCATTTATCAAACAATTTTCAAGTTCTCACTACCTCTAAGATGTTGTAAGATAACATAAGTGCTTTCAAAACCATCAAGGGCTAGACCAACACTAGACACTAACGTGGCCCTATGAGGAGTCTGATTTCATTAGAAGAGTAACAGGATTCCAGGGAACATCTTTCAGGAATGGAACTTGGGAGCAAGCAGGGCTGAGAGTAGCAAGACAAGAACACGTTTGTGTTCGTGGCAAAGAAGCCAGCACAGATGATCTGAGAGGTGAGTGACAGCTCATGGTAATTCCTGCTCTCCTAACAGGCAGCCAAGCACAGACAAAGAACATTAACCTTCGGAAAGGGGGATTATCTCTGCCTCAGACTGAAGGGGAACAAAGACACTGATGGATAGTCACAGACATTTTAACTTTTCTTTTTAAGAGACGGTCTTATCTTGAACCCTTAGGTTCAAGTGATCCTCCTGCCTCAGTCTTCCCAGTGGTTGGGATTACAGGCATGCAGCACCACACCCAGCTTAAGAGACACTTGAGATAGAAGAGAGATTGAGAGAGCTTTCCCAGTGACCTGTCTCCTCCACAATATACAAGTGACAGTCATGAACCAATGGTGATGCAAAAAAGTATATTTCCAAGCAGGAGAGACCCAGGGAAGGAGGATTCTGTGAGTAAAGAATTCAACCTCACCCAAAACAGGCCTGGCCCTTGTCCTGAGTTCACAATGATTTAAGGTGGTGTCTTGATCACACCAGAAACACTAATAAGGTGATGCAGAGTGGCCCTTTGGGTCACCCAGTGTCATTTATGTGGAAATGAGGCCAACCATGTGGGCAACCAACTGATCTGTCAACCGCACCTCCCTGGCATGATGCAGGCTGTTCAGGTGAGCGTCCCCAGCTGGCAACACTTCTTTCACAGTGTCTCACATCAGTGCAGGAAAAGTCTGGCCCACAGCAGAAGAGAGAGCAGCAAAAGCTTTGGCATCTGGTACTTTCCTGGGCTCTACTCCATGGACTTCTTCCCTTAGCTGAATTTAATTTGTAGCCCTTTTCTTTAATAAACTGCAGCTGTGAGTATAAGCTCTTTCAGTGAGTTCTGTGCAGTCTTCTAGTGAACTGAGTATGAAGGCGGATCCAGGATTCCCCCAAACCCCTGGCTCCAATTGCAGTTGGTGTCAGAGGATGGTCTTGTGTACAGGAGGACTGTTCCCGCTAAACTCTGTAGCTCACAGGTGATTTAAACTCTCTTGTGACAATGGAAGTATCACATGGAAAGCTGTTAACACTCACCCTGGCCTGGAGGTCAGCTTTGGGAACAAAAATTTCAGTGAGAATATGCATTTTAATGTTATACTTTATGCTCTGCTCTGTTAATTGAATTTATTTTAAAATGCTTGTTTTTAAAATGCCTTCAAATGCTGCTTTAGGAAAACTATCTTGCATTACCATTGAGTATGGATTGGAGCCAGAAAGCTCTGGTCAGGAAAACTACTTTCACTGCATCGCAAACATTTACTTTATATGTGAACTTAATTTTAGTCCCATTCCCTCAAATTAACAAAGATCCCATCATTTACATTACTGGAGACCAAGCCAGCAAGTAAGAGTCTCAGAAAGAATGTAAAATTGTGTCCATATTTTTAACCAATCCAAACTATTCTTATATAAAGTTCATTTAGTACTTTGTCACAGGGGGCTATTCCATTCATGCTAACACTCTTCCATTCTGTTTGTTTCATTTGTTTTGAGACAGGGTCTGGCTATGGTGTAGCCCAGGCTGTCCTGAAACTCACCATCCTCCAGCCTCCGCCTTTCCAGTGCTGCTGCCACACCTGACTACTTGTCCATTCTTGAACAGAACTTGTGTTCTTACTCTGTGTTGATTAGCGAGGCAGCAAAGTCCCAATCCGTTAATTTGTCAATTGAGGCAGGCTCTGAGCCTCTGCAACAGGAATCCAACTGTTGTTGAATGAGTCCTGCAGGAAGTTACCTTTCACATTGTCCTGTTCTCAGCTCTTAACTGAGAAGTCAATGTGATTCTGCAGTAACTCCAAAAAAGCACACAATCCAAACCACTCCAACATCTCCGACCCTCCTATTTTCCAGAACGTTCAAGAAATGCAGCTAATACCTTCCATTTTCCCAAATACCCCAACAGCCTTTCACTTTAACCAAACTAACAAGGTAACTTTTTAAAAGGTGACTTTTGGTAAGTAAAAAACTGTAAAACAACATGAAAAAGATCAGTCATCATCTGGGAGGTAAAGAGTTTAGGAAGAAATGTACACTGACCTACCATCTGAGCCAATAACCATAAAATGATAAATGCATGTGGACTTAAGTACACACATCAAGCACCCTGCAAAGAACACAAGGTAGGAAGGACTCAGCACCTTTACAGCCCAGGCACCTGCATCAGCAGTTCTTCTTACTCCAATTTAATTGCCACAATAAACCGTTGTTCATGAGCTAATAAAACATATCCATTCAACGTCTATAGGGGCTTCGTTCAGAACAGATGAATCTAATGCCCTGAAGCCTGACCTGATTGTCCAGGAGGCCTTTGGGGCAACTACTCCCCAAAGATCATTGGCGGGTGGGATTGGGGTAGGAGAGAAGATAGCGAGGATAATGGGCAGAGAGTAAAGGGATACGGAAAGGGGATGGAAGAACAGGAGCAGTGGGCAGACAACGCGCCCCGCGGGAAGCCCATTGTAACGCGCGCCTGTAAAAACTCTTGGCAGCTCACCCAGGGATTTACAGCCACTCTATAATGACAGCCCTGCCATTAGCTAGAGGAGAAAAACGTGGCGCGGAGAGCCGTGTGTCACGCCCAAGGTCAGGGAAAAGGCTGCGGCAGAGATTCGGGGTCCCCCGCCCGCGGGATCACGAGAGAGGGAGCAGGCGACACCCGGTAGGGAACCCAGGGGCGCGCACAGAGGTGCGAAGGGGGGACTAGGAGAGGTGGCAGGTGGCGGCGGGGTGGAAGAGAGGGCAGGGCGGGCCAGACCGGGAGCAGCTGGAGGCCCCGAGCGGGATGGCCGGCCCGGCCGAGCGCCGCACTCACCCGAGGCCCGGGCGGGGTCGCCGGACTCTGCGGCTCCTCCCGGCCTGCGGCGGCGGCGGCGGCGAATGCACCGGCCGAGGCAGGGACGCATCATGCGGCCGCGCTCATGGCCGGGCCGGAGCGGGCCCCCGGCTCGGCTTGGCTGGGTCCGGCCGGGCCAGGCGGAGGGAGGCGGCCGCGGATCAGCAGCTGGAGTCCAGCACACTGCCAGGAGAGCCGGACGGCGCGACCCCGGAAGTGAACCCCGCGAACTCAGAGCGCCGCGTTACGCACTTCCGGCCGCGCCGCTCCTAGCGCCGCAGAGTGCGGCGGTGCCAAAGCCGGGACCTGTTTGGTCTGAGCGTCTGAAAGACTGTCAGTTCCTTGAGAAAAAGCAGCTCTTTGGTGCAAGATACTTTGCTAAAATAAAGAGTTCCACTCGAACTGCGGTCCGGAAGAGAAAGGATGGGGCTACGGGCTGCCGCAAGGGCCAAACTGCGCCTTTACTGTTAAATGAGGCCGGGTTTCTTTCCCAGGAGAAATGAGCGGAGCTGGGCGGCGTCTCACCCCGCTTCCAGTGTGGCCTATGGAGAAGAATTGAGGAATTAAAGAAGTGGGATTGGAAACGACTGAGCCTGAAAGCGCTCTGGACCGGGGATGGGGAGTCTGATTTCTGGGCCCCCGCTTTGAAACCTGGACGCTTAGAGCATCGCAGCGACTCCCTCCAGGTGATAAATCCGAAGTGTTTTGAAGGTAGAACCTATTGTATTTCTTTAGGTTCCCTATCGTATTTGGCACAGTTTCTTCAGGGCTGGGAAGTAGGAGCTGCCTTAGTGTTTGTAGTTTGTTAAGACGGATGAAGGCAGTGACAGCTAAGGGATTTTTCAAACTGTCTGCGGGCCACCTTCTCACCATTTACCGTTCCTGTTCCCGGAAACTCTTGGAAGGAAGTAAGAGGTGCAAATTATCAAAATCACAAAATTATTTAAAGGCTCAAGATTTTTGCTTGGTAGGCGCCCTCACCACTGGCGTCACTGCGCCACCCCTGAAAACTATCCATCTCTTACTTATTTGTGGCGGCCGTGGGGTTTGAACTCAGTGCCTCATGCTTGCCTGGCACGCGCCTTTACTGCTTGAGCCACTTCGCCAGTCCGAGGTTTTTGGTTGTACTTTGTGTATCTGTATATGCAAAATGGTGCTGTCCCCTGTACTATTAATGTATGAATGTATGCTACTAAAAAAATATGGTAAAAATGGTTTTGTTATGAATCAGCTAGCTGGGATCCTTTTGCTCTACCCAAATAGGAATTGTGGGAGGCCAACTCCTGGCTTTAACCACCAGCAGTCCTGGCACTTGGCAGCTATTGTAAGTAATCCTCCCCTTACAGCAACAGTGGGTGGTGGCAGTAGGCAGCAGGGGATGATGCTTTTTAGCATTACAGCTTTCATATAGGCTTTAGGTGCTGGTACCCTCAGCCCTGTGTGACAACTATTACAGATCTCCAGCCTACAGTGTCTGAGACACTTGGCCCTTAGGCCTTGGCAGCTCCCTGGAACTTTTCCAGTGAGCAGGGCCCACAGTTTCTCTTCTCTGGCTCTTCACGGTCTTCCATCTTTCTTCAGCCGCAGCTTTCTGCCCTAGCCACTCTTTGGAACTCTTCAGCTGCTGCCACCACTGCCTTTATAGCTGCTGTTTACTCTCCTGTCACTTACCTTTCTGTGTTACCAGTTCAGCCTGCTCTACCAGTGACAAAGACGGAAAGTGGTCAAGAAAAGACCACTGGAGTGAATGAAGCCTTTTAATGGGCAGCAAGGGAGGAGGCATCCTAGTTGACTCAAATAGTAAGCCGGCCTGCCTGCTTATATAGCCAGAAAGGAGGTGTGGCAAAACTGTCTGCACCAACCATGCAGACAGTCATGCAAATGAAGGACTTTGTTTGCACCAATCACAGGCCTTCTGCTGAGCCACAAGGTGAAGGGCTCCCCCCTCTGGCCTGGGTGGGAATGGCTGCAGGGTTCCTCAGAGTTCACTGATGCTTGTCTTGCTTATTGCTCTGCTTTCCAAGATCAGTGTAGGCTGTCTGGAGTGATCATGACAGGACCATGTCTCAGCCTTGGATTTAGTGCTCCTCTGCAGCTGCTGGAGTGTCCTCAGAGTGACTGTGAAGTGTCCCAAACAGTAGGACTGCCAGGAGGGCCATCAGGCCTGTTGCCAGTAAAGGAGCTGCTTTCATCAAGGCAGCTGGGGCACAGGGACGGTCTAACAGCTGTCAATTAGGAGTCAAAATACCAGACCCGCAACAGTTCAGTTTATTTGAAGGAAAAATAAACATGAAAGGGTGCTTATAATAAAGGCCTACCTCCAACATTACCAGTGCTTTAACAGCATTTAACAGGGCCTAATCTGCCCTAGTGCCCCAGGGCGAGATGGGTTCCTCTAACCTGGCTTAGTGCTACAGATTCAGTCAACTCCTATAGAGTCTGATATCTCTGGTGTCTTTAACTCCAGGGGGAGATGAGTTCCAGTTCTGGCCAATTTTTTTTGTAGCTAGTGAAACAAAGGTTGGTTATATTTGCATAACACCAAGCCTGCAAGGGGTCACTATATTAGCAGTATATTTACAAAGAGCATCTTTTTTCTAAAAAAGGTAAAATCATGTCTTGCATCAAAATGAACACATGTCAAAGATTTAATTTAACTCAGTCAATTAGCAAGTATGTAAGATGCTGCAGTTGGTTCAGAGATGAGTCCAGAAGGACAGACACACATATAGGCAGTCACGAATGGTATAAGAATCTGCTTAATGAATGCCAAATTGGCTCCTTCCCTGAGAGGTGGGGAGTCAACTGAACTCCACCAGACAAGATTCACTTGTTCATCCACTGTCTCTGGGCAAGAGCTATTTGCATTGCTGTCAGTTCTCTCCTGCCTCTCCTTATACATATCATAAGGACAGAAGACCCCACAGAACTAGATTACCCCAAAGGGTGTGCCATACCCTCTGTACTCATTTATCGCAGACATCGCAAGAAATGTGTCACCCCCAAGATATGCCTGACTGATTTTGAGCTGAAGGCAATTAATGAAGCAGCAGGAAGTGCTCCCCCTTTTCCTGCCTAAAGCAGGCTGGATTTCCCTTTATTGGAGGCTCCAGACTCTAGCCCAGGGGGATACCAGAGGAAATCTGCGAGCAGCCCTGATTAGTCCTTCCACTTCATAAGCCTTCCCTCTTGCTGCCCTTGGAAGCCTAAAGCCACTTGCCTTTGTTCTGTCTGCAGACTTGCTACATAAGCCAGATTCAAAGCCACTTTTTTGAGTTTCCCTGTGTTTCTCCCTTGCATACAGGGCTGTTTACGTAAACGTTGATCTTGGTGACAGGATCCCCAGCCAAAACTTACAAGGGAAGAGGGAGAATGATTTTTCCCTTTCCTATACACCCAGTAATCTTACTGACCCACTTCAAAGGCATTCACAAAAAATGAAGATGG